GCCGACGAATACGTTTCATTGTCATCGCCTGCAAGACACGTTCCATCTTGACCGTCAGAAGCTGTGGCCATCGCCCTTGCTGTACTTCCGAATTTCAAATTTATTTTATTCTCCAGCCAGAAGTTTCCGTAGACACCGCGCCCGTTTTTAAATTCCGCTTCAAGCCGACCCCACTCTGAGTTAGCCGATTAGGGACCATTTCGACGTGTATTGATATTGTCTTAATGAATGGGATCGTTGGCCAAAGGAAGACCAATTACAGATTAATATTACGCGATATCTTGGAAAATCGTGTCCGTCCCAAATTTAACGGCACAGTGATCTGTTAATTTCGCGGATTACGGACATTTTGAGATTTGACTTGCGAGATGCTTGGCTCATTCAACCACCATTATGTAAAACATCAATTTACAGTATTTCACTGTGCAAAATCTTCAAAGTTCAGACAATAATTGTTGCCCAAGGATTAGTTCCAGTAGGCTTAGTATTACTCCAGATATCGGGGATATCTGAGAACAGGACTTTGAAAGAAGGTAGCTCAGTATTGACATTTTCCGTGGGCGACCGCAATTCTGGGAGTTTATTGGGCCGCAGATCTGGCATTCTTCCCACATTCAACCATTCTTCGGCCGAGGCAACAGGATCAGAGCCACGTACATAGTTCAATAGGCCAACGTTTGTATTCCCCGACCCTCTCCACGATTGGACCATCTGCCTTTTTGACCGTTTGATTGGCCTCAATCTAAAGCGACACAAACATGAATATTCGGAGCAATTTGATATGGTCTTAATTACTCACCCTTGACCCGCCTGGGGCAAACCTTCTTCCCGATTCTGGTCTCGATTAGACGGCTGGCTCAAAATTCTCTGAAAACGCAGGCGACACGCAATTGAACTTCTTCCAGGCAGCTCTTGACTCATTGCCGTCCACCCCCACCCTTTCAGTCGAAGTTTTTGTAATTTGTTGTCTTCTTCCACCGACCATACTTTGTTGGAGGAGCGAACCGCACGAGTCTTTCGAGCACCAGAGGCCGCTAGTGACGCTGCCGGTGGATTTAGGTTGACCGTGTTGACCTGACCTCCCCGATCTATGAGGCAGAAATTATGCCCCTGGTGAGGGTTGCATAGAACGCAATACATTGTCGGAGATTTCCAGAAGCAATGACAAATAAACCAGGTCAAACTAGGGAAGAGGCAGTCAGAGGATGTTGCAACCCAATTTAACACAAAAACCTGTTACAATTTGGAGTCCTGACATTAACTATCTTTTGGTAGGAGTGAAATAAGAGGCAGTTTGTTCACCTCGAGCATTTTCTATTGCGCGGATAATGGATTGCTTAAAACTACTGTGACTGGGAATTATGCATGATTGTTACATTTTGGGCAGTTTGGGCAAGGATTCTCAAGTACCAATAGTACGTAGAGTTACATAATGAAAGTGGCTATTAGGTTTTTGAGAACTCCGATCAATTGTCTTCCGCAATCTGTCCTTGCCAAAGTATAAGCAATCTTAGCCCTAGTTTTTTATGGGAGTCGGATATATAATTATGCATTAGTATGGAATGACCCACACGTTCGGCGAAGAATAGAGGAACAGGGCGAGTGAGCTTTCCACGGCACTGTTTGGTAATATGGAATAGTGGGATATGGACGGTGCCGTAGTTGATCGGGGTTAATTCGAAGTCGGTGATCATGGATGCAAGTGAGAGAGAATTGATTATTTACTTAATAAAATATAAAACATTAAGTGAAAGTAACTCTACGTCTTAATTGATAGGAGCTTTCCTTTCTCTTTTCTGAAGATACACTGAAATAGGAGATGGTTTAAAATTACAATAGACCTTACGGACTGGTGATGGGTGGCTGCTTCCCTTGTGTCAGAAGAGGAAAGGGATCAAATTGCAAGTGTACTACCCATAGCACCAATTGGGAAACGGATAAAGTCGCCCGGCTGCTTTTGGACCTACAGGCCTAACACAGAATGAACATTTGGTAGATAGAGCTCTCTTGGCTACAGTACCACGATGATTCTCCGAGAGCTTAGCAAGCGACTCCACAGCGCAAACCGTGGGACAAGCCATGATTGCCTATCGGGCTTCCCGTGATTGGCTTACCGCCACAGCATCCATTGCCTCTATGACCGTTAGCGAATTTAGTGGGTTCCATAATATATGAACAATAGTGACGATAGTTAGTGTGGTCCGTTTGTAGTGGATTGTGGGATGATCGACTTTATATTCAATATCTATGATACGGTCATCATCTCATAGCGGCCGACCGCAGCACTCTACAAGAAACACAGTGATCTTTAGATCACTACTGACGCTACGATTGGATATTTGTTGTGAACCTCCTTTGTACGAAATGAACATTAGAAGCAGAGTTAAGTCAAGCAAGCACCCTGCGCGGCGACATGATCTCTGCACTCGAACATGTGGGACGTGAGAGCAGTGCAAACCATGGTTCGTCTCAAGCGCTCCGGGTCCGCACTGATGGCCGCTGTAATTTATTGGTACGACGCTTACAATGGATGACTATGCCGAACATAGAGGTAGCACGTGCCCATTTTGGAACGACCCAGGAGTACGCAATCCGTGGGGCCCAGACGGCCCAGTCCGCCCGGGGAAAGCCTGGGGGACCAGGCTTTCACTTGATACCCACTTATCAGAATTTCACCAACTACAAGACCGCCGTCTAACGATGCTTGGCAGTTTCTCGTTGAGGGCCCAGAAGAAGCAACACTAATTTTCGGATCAATGAAACCTTCTGTTGATCGAGAAAATATGGCCTCGGCAATCTATGGCGGTACATGGCCGACTACTCGCTAAGTCAACGATAGTAGGGGAAATCCGACCGTGGAAACTAAAGGGCAATCTCCGAGGAATTCTAGACTCTAGTTCAACACGGAAAATTTGTGCTTGATTTTATACTCCGGAATTGGCTGACTTTTCTGAGTTGTAGACTTTCGGCAGATAATCCAATACAAAGGTTTTTGAATACCACCGGTTGTTGTTAGAATCGTAACCAGCGTCAAGTAGAAGCCATCGAGGGTGAACCCGATCTCATTCCGAATATCATGCTCACTATGTGTTACCCCGCCCTCCATTCCAAAGTGAAAGCGAAGTCATTGAACGCCGGTAGGCCAAATGCTCTCACAGTAAATCAAAAGATGAGGGACCCACATCGAGAGAGGTCGCCCCTTGAGTATGGAGATCATTCCCCTGGGTAGTGGAGACTAGGGTAGATCTCTCGACGATGCTTTTGCTTGTCTCTGACCGACCTAGACCAGTACCACTCATCCTCGGGATAGATTTGCCACAACGAGTACAAACCAACGCCGCATATCCGTATACATGGAGCAAGGAGTTTTAGAATATACATTTGAAGTCTAGGACATACCGCCGTCAGAGAAACCCCACGGCCTATGGGCCGTGATATAGATACCCGAAAATTCGCTATAGCACCCATAATTGCTATGCTTTCAACTCAGTCCGTGGATACCGTGGCTTCCTTTGGTATGCCCGTGGTGCGTGAAAGGGTATCGTAATCCACACGGTGTTCCGTCGGCCTGGTGATGGGGGAATATCGCTTCGTTCGTATCTAAAGGTATGTCAGAGTGGAGTGCCACTGTAGGGGAACTGTCATGAGAGTCCTTACTCGGAATGCATGGATATTTCGAAAGAGAGGTGGACGGAGGGGTGAACCCTTCCCGTGGAAACATGCTCGTTGCCAAAATATTGTCTTGATATATCTCAGTCTGCCGCCACTGTTCCAGTATTTGACGGACTAATGGATCGGGAGTCTTCAAGATCAATGGTGGGGGAAAAGGAGGGAGCTCCTCCAAAAGGCTTCGCTCAGGGAATAGATTCCGTACAGAGCCAGTTTGGACCACCTCTTCATAGAGAGGGCGTTGTCGGCGAATACCCTGGTCCAATTGCTCGAGCTTGCTACGGAGCGAGCTAATAGACCTCCATTTCCCCGTCTGCCTGAAGTATTCCTCACGCCTTTTCTTCCAGGGCAAATGCTGATGACGAGCCATCCATTCTTGCAAATTGTCCTCTTCTTCCACCGTCCAAAGAGTGTATATGCCTTCTGACATTTTTGGGGGGGATATAAAATCAAGTATGGAAACAAAAAGGGTCGTAGGACGGATGGATAGAACAAAAAATTAAGATGTCGAAATGTTAAGCGGACTGGGAAAGTACCAGGCATTTACCTGTTGAAAACCTTCTGGAATATACCAACCGCATTTGCGACGCTATTCAATACTATAACGAATTTAGTTAGTCAGGAACATCAAGATAGTCCCTTTTATTGCTAGTGCAATTGAATCGTGAGGTGGGTATTATTTGGTACCGATTATTTGCACCATGTAGCATTGTGATACGGCTAACTAAAGTCGTGAATTGGACAATTCAACTCTATTTACCTCCTTAACTAATTCCCGATTTAATTATCTACAGTGAATTTAGAGGGTCGATATAATGATCAATTGTCGATTACGGAGCAAATAGTACTTTCGATCCGTTTAATTTACAATATCTCCTACCTGATCAAACCCCACCAACAAGGGCCCTATCTGAATTATCCCAAAACTGGGTAAATTCGGTCTATGCAGGTCTTTCATTTTCTGCCTATTTCCCTCATTGAATAAACAATGTGAAGCTTTCTTTTAGTAGAGTCAGTCGCCAGCTCGGCCGTACTAGTCGGACAGCCCATATAGAATACCACGCCATCCAGGTTGATAGCATGTTCTAGGGCAAGATCCGCAAGTAGACAATCTACAATAGTAATTTTTCATGTACTAGTTTCTTACGGTATATCCACAAAGGGCACAGGATATACTAAAAGGTTAGGCGGACGAGATCACGCTATATTATGCGGGCTAGCCTAGACTAGGACCCCTACTGCATATATATTCTCTAGGCCCATCCGTACTACACAGATCTCAACCACCACCGCTTACTGAACTTCTTTTTACTTTAACAAACCTAATCACCATGGCTATTACGCATGGCGCCGAAAGCGACGAAGCCTCTTCAGGTCTCTACACTGAATGGCTTCAGATGTTCCCTCCCAAGCCTAGAAGGCCTTCCGATATCTATGACATACCCAAGTCGGCTGTCGTTTCCCCAGAGGAGGATTGCGCTTTCGAATACATCGACGAACAGTCAGGCGCTGAGGAACACCAAGATACAATGGACGAAGATCATCGAGAGCAAACAGATGAGGAAGACATGACGATGGAAACGCTAGGCGTGGCCTGTAACGGGAACAGGGCGATCCCGGAGGACGGTCTGAGAGATCCCAACCTTATAAGCAAAGTTTTCACCGAGTACGTTGATTCGCTCACTCTTGCCGTTAGAAGCAATGAATACTAACCGTTGCGCTAGCCTAGATAGTCGAGTGAGGTGAGGCATTCCTCCTAGGGGCAAGTCCTCCGATCGCTAATTTATTTCATGCTAATGAATTCCTTCAGGGGGGTAGAAGAGCAGTTTTTGGAACAGAATGCTTGGAATGGAAACATGCAGCAGAGCATGGAGACTATGGCACATGGTTACAACGAGATTCAAACCCTCAAAAAGGCCATAAGCGCGTTAGAAGACCAGGTTGCCGCCTTATCCGTGAATAGAGGTAGTACAGTGGAGAGGAGGCCAGGACGCCCGAAGCGACCGGCGCAGTGAAAAGATGGGCCCTGTGATGATAGATTGGGTGGAGGCATGATGACAGAGACTCAAAATCCAAGATGAGAATGAACGCCCCCGCCGACCAGCGTTATCCTATATTTACTGTACTAGTTGCCGGTAACTCGCACAAGAATAATGTAACAAGGCCGTTTGTGTAACCACTTTGGGAAGTTAACCCGGCCTCATTAAATGAGGTGCCATGGCAGAGGAATAGTTCGTCGTGAGCCACTTCCCGATTCTGGAATCGAAAAGGAATAATTGATTTCCTACACCCATAAGAGATTTTTAAACGATCAAACATAGAGTTTGCTTTTCTGAGACCGAAGCGAGAGGCTTGGCGCGCTGGGAACAATGGTACAAGCTCCATCGTGATTACATTCCCACGTAACTGTGCCGCTCTCCGCTCCTAGCGATCCTGTGATCCGAAAGTCGATGACTGTCGAGATACGACAATTGTCCCTGTGTCGTAGGACATTTAATACAGAGAAATAACATATTATTGTCATTGAGGCTTTTGGTTGAGGTTACGCTGAGCCTTCGGACTATCCGCCACTGGATTACATCAATCCCTCGTACTGACGTGTAGAAGCAGCGTTCTTTCGCAATTCGAACAACTGGAGTGGAGCAACAACCTGCCGATGCCACATTTCGGGCATTTATCGCCTTCCGTTCGTCAATATTCTCATTAGAGACACCTCGAGGTCGAGATGGACTATCTCGCTCATTGTAATTTGGCGAAAGCTTATCGGATATAGCCGAGAGGATCATCGCGCTCGGGCCATCGACTGGTAAGATCGACCCGGAACTCTAAATATACGCTAGTAATTTTGCCCCTCCTACCCAATCTGCGATAGTTCAACGTAACCGGTTCCCGCTATCAAAGCCACGGCCCTGAATAAGTACAGACGAGAATACATTCCATGGTTTAACCATTAAAGGTCCTTGGTTGAGTGTAAGTGTTCCATGCCGACCGAGTGATGGCGTAAATGCGACCCAGACCTGCTCTAGCGTTACGCCTAGTACTCTTGTTGAGACTAGACTTTTGCCACACACATGCAAACTTACCGCGTTTGCCAGATGATTTTCCAGTATTTACCTTTTTCGGAGGGCAAATGATGCTGGCAAATCCGACGTGGGAGATATTCGGATACGAGGTTTGTTTAGAGATGTGGCTAATATGCGGGAGGAACGAGCCGGTGGAGCACGGACAACCGTTATGCATCCCTCCTAACCCCCACCATTTTGAGCGCTCAATGCAAGCCATACAAGGAACGCCAAGACGCCTCCAGAAAGACATCCAATCGGGTTAACTTAAGAGTCCCGTTGACTTTTTCCCACCAAGCGACGCCTACGGGTGAAGCCTGAGCCTCTGGAGTGCCTTTCATGTCCGGGTCGTTTTTCGGCCGCCTTCCATACTTGTTAGCGCCGGACTTCCCCCGGATGATCCCCGGATACTGGAAACGCAGCTCACCAATCCCACTATCCAAGGGTCACTCGATGAAATCCCAACTCAGTGTTAACCGAAACTTTCAATAGTACTACGCCGTGCTCCCGTGACCTATCCCACCATAGTTCCATCATGGGATCCGCAGTTCCCAGCACCCAAGGGATCCAGTGAATCCATGTACTATAGAATAATTTACATGACTCCTTCAACCGACGTCTTGAATCACAGCATATGCTGCTTTTCATTTGAGATAAGAAACACGATTAATAGAAAGCTTGTCTTCGGATTAATATTAGGGATGATATCAGGCTACCTACCCCCCAAGTTCAACACATACAGTAGTTTTCGAATTCAGTTTGACCCCACACTCTTTAGATTTGATTCCCGGAAAATAAATCCTTACTATGCGAGTTTTGATTGGCTATTATTTTAGGCACTTGAATCTTGACCGCTTTCTATAATGGTATATGTATTTTATAATACGAATTCATTACCATGCATGCTGTATTTTACACGAAATTGAATGTTACAAGATGCTTGTTTGAAAGTCGACTTCGGCACGTTCCGTTGGGTACTTAGATTCCATTCATATTCGCAGATTCTTGGCGGGCACTTCGGAGCTGCCGCAGTCTAGACTGGAGGGCAAGCAGGCTTCGGTTTCGCGGTTCCACGTGGGAGACACTCGGAGAGGGAACGAGCTCAATGACGATGATGCCTTCGGCAGTTTTCTCCTTGAATCTCAATTTCCACTTGGGAGATTTTATTTGAGAAAGGATTTTATCGCACTCAGGTTGGTCCATGTCGGGGAACCCAATTATATGAAAGTAACTTCGTTCGCGAATGAACAGTAACGACATTGGCTGATTGCGATCGTACAATTTTTTCGATAGTTCGTTAAGCATTGACTGGCCATGTTCACCGTACTCGGATAATATGTTCGGAGCGGGTCTTCTCATGCTGAAATGTTGTACTGTGGACTATTACCAGAATAAAGGCCCTGGCCTGAGCTGAGCAGTCTACTTATGCGTCAGAGAAGACGGAAAGAAAAGGCAGAATCCAATGACGGTTCTGGGATTACATACGGAGTGTCATTAACACCAATGTTCTGCCCAACTGATAGAGTAGAGCGGTGACACTAAACGGGATTAGCGTACTTCGGATTCATTTTCCGGGAATCAAGTCTTAAAAGTGTTGGGTCAAACTGAATTCGAAAACTACTGTACTTGGGACTCGTTTATTTGTGGAGCAATCTTATCTGTGACCGACGAGTTATTTCTCAGTTGTATCAAAATCGGGGTTCTAGCTTGTCTGGCTCTAATCCCAGATTTAGACGGAGTGATTATTTCGTAAAGAAATTTCCAGCAGTTTACTTCTGCTCAAACTTCATCATGCTTTTTTTATATTTCTAGCCTGGCAAATTGCTAATTCCACATTTTTACGGAGCAGGTCTTCCTAAGATCAGAAACTTTTTTCCACGCTGAGTCAACGTGATTACCGTGATACAATGCTGAAAGTTTATTGCATGACACAAGATAGACATAATAAGAAAGCCGTTGAATTAGAAAGTCATTAATTATGTCAAGTTACTATTTCACCTCATCAAGGGGATTTCAAAAGTAGGGTGAGCCACGTTTTGAGCAACGTTTTGAGCAACATTTTGAGCACCTTTTCAACCCATTTTCTAAATAGACTGCTCAGCTCGGGCCAGGGCCTGTATTCTGCTTTCGGCACATAGAGCACACTACAGCATTTCAGCATGAACATCCTATTATTACTTAATCATAAATAGATTATTCTAATCCTTGTAAATGACTGAGTAGGCGGATCTCAACCGGTCGATTTAGGTTATCAATTTGGACCGATTCGAACGCCCCTCTTGGAATGCTGTGACAGCTCTAGGTGGATCAAGGTTGGTGATCAGGTTTGATGAATTCACTGAATTATGATACGTCTAAACCAATTTGTGAGGACAAGCTGAAGTCAAACTGTTGGTATCACCCGCTAGGTACTGTGTACACAGTTAAGTGGACAGTTTATGCTAAAGCAAAAGTTGATTGATTCGTGTATGATTGATGTAGATTCCAGGTCCTCGTCCAATGCCCCTGAATCCGTGCGGCGGGAGCCGCAGCTGAGCAAGATTACGTACAATATGTCTTTGCTTATTCTGACGGGAGGATATATCCCGACACAAACGAATAGTTTTGATAAAATGGAGGTGTGGTTTTATGACAATCAACCAGTTAAATCAATCCTTCAACACGATCGCACGAATTCACCTTAATTAAGGAATTACATTCATCAAAATTGAACACCTTGATTGGTACACACATTGTACTAAATGGCTGTTTAAACGAATCATGTTATATTCAATTCACAGTCATAATTGGTTCTTCACCAGACTTGACCGATGAATTAGTACCAAAGGAGATCTTCTGAACCCGACAATCTTTCCAGAGGATACATTCAAACAGTGAATCTTGCTTCAATTTTGGACCAACAAAGGCAACGGCTCATACCGCTAATTCAACTAAATTCACCATGATTGAACGGCCGAATTTATCAAAATTGACAAAACCTTACAAGAAATTGTGCGAAACATTAACCAGCTAGCTGTTCAGATGAAATATTTTGAGCGTCTCCACTTGGATGGGGTTTACTACCAGGTTAATCTATGTATATTATTTTCTCACTTCGATTTCGACTATTCCGAGATTGGAGCAAATTTATCACGTCTAATTGGTTCTCGTGCGACAAGCCAAAAGCATGGTTCGAAAACTAGCTGTCCATTTTAGCGAAGGTACCAAGTTGGGGAAAAGGCAAAAGATCTATCTAGCGAGATGGTGCTTTTTATTGAGTTTGATAAGAAACGCCCCCTGTTGTCTTCAGTGATGCTAACTCTTTTTTGTACATGGGGGAAGTAAACCCGATTAGGCTTAGTGGGCTGAATTCCGGCAGAATTCCTGGATCATGTGCTATGGTTTTCAGGTGAAGGAGAATATGACTAATCTTGGCCCGAGATGCCGACCTCATCGGATGCCGAAATACGTGTAATTGCTTATGCTGAGACTTATGCATTTATGCGCTAATTATACATGGTTCAACTTAGTTGAACCGCCAGTTGAACCCCCAGTTGAACCCCTACCTTACTAAACTGCACCATGCGTCCATATAGCTCGACAAAACGTATGTTATTGATTCCTTAATGATTCGTTATCTTCATTCTTTGATTGGAATACGGAATAGGACGCTGAAATAGTAATTAGTTACATATTAAAGAAGAATGTTAACACTTTTTCAACATTGAAGTTCGAAAGGTGCTAACAAACAAATGAGAGATATATCTTGTACAGGAACATCCCATCCACACTTCGCCAAACACCACCTTTTTCGGCCCAGATCAGGGAGAGGATCCAGGAGCCGGGAACGATAACATATGTAATATTAAATATGTGTCTGACAAGCTTTCCATTTTTTAATTACCATTCGAAGCTAGCTTGTTCTGCAGGACAGGAGCGACCGAAGTGATTGATACCTACCAAGGGTCACTCAG